TTTCCCTCTGCACTTGCTGTTCCCTTTTCCCAGGCAAACATGCCCATAATTGATCTTTTGGAAATCCATAGCTCTTTCCATAGGCAGGGCAGGCTGTTTAAAAGCATCAGTTTGGGGACAGGTGTGACTCTAGCTTTGGGGTTGTTTATCAGAAACAACTACTTTCGGAAGCCTTTTTTTTTATTTTCCACTTGCATTTTCAGTTCAAGCTTTTACAAAGATCTGCATGGTAAATGTAAAAGAGGAGGGTGAGAGGGTGCAGGTGAGGAGTGTGAGCTGACAGCAAACACCCCTGTTCCTGGCAGGCTGCAGCAGGCAGAGAAGGCCAGGCAGGCTGCGGAGGAAAGGTGCAGCAAGGTGAAGCAGGAGCTCGCCGGGAGGCTCGACACGTGTCGGCAGCAGATGTCCCAGCTGGACAGCAAATGGTATTTCATCTGAGCAGCCTTTTTCCCCTTCCCTTCTGCCATTCCTTTAAGAAGTGCTTTCTGTCCTTTTGGGCTCAGGTTTGAGGATGGGTAGGTTTGAGTTCCATTTGCTTCAGCACTGATAGGAGTGTGCAGGATCCAGGGAAGCACAGCACAGTTGGTGTGAGGGTTCTGATATGGGTTTTTGGAGAACATCCCATTTAGAGCACAGATTGCCAGCAGAAATCCAACTGGCAATGGAGCTTTCAATTGCTTTGTTAATAAACCAGGAGATAGGTATGGTCAGGCTTGTAGGCTGAGCATAGGAGTGTCTGTCATCCAAAGGGATTGGGGTTTTTGAACGGGTTTGGGTGTTTTTTAATCCTCTGAAGATTTCTAATACTGACAAAAATGCTTCTTCTGCTGCTCAGACTTGAGGGTAGAGTGTCCCTTTTAAGCATGGCATGAGTGAAATACCTACTCCTGGGGATTGGGTTGGGGTTCTTGTGGGGTTGAGTGAAATACCTACTCCTGGGGATTGAGTTGGGGTTCTTGTGGGGGGTTTGGGGGTCTTTTGGTTGTTTATTTGTCTTCTAGCCATTCATTGCTGCTTGTTTTCCGTGACCTGAAAATGTTAATACAGCTTTTTACATCTGCTGCCATAACAGTTTGATGTCTGCTGCCTGTGCTTTGCTTTCCCAGAACACCACTCTATTTTTGCCTTCTTTTGGACAAGATTTCTTCTTGTCATACTGTTACTACCCTTAAGTGTTGTAGGATACTTTTCTGCTGTAGGGTATTTTACAAGGAATTACTCTTAAATAGCTCAACTCTGGAAAAGGAGTTAAAATCTGAAAAGGAACAGAGACAAACTCTGCAAAAAGAACTGCACCAGGAGAAGGATGCGACCACTCTGCTCAAAACAGAATTGCAACAGATGGAAGGATTGAGGAAGGTAAGGAAGGTTCAAGTGTTCAGAGCAACTGGGTGTGATTTATTCTTTAAGCATTATCAATCTTCACCTGAAGAGGATTCACTCCCAGGTGTGGAGCAGTTTAGATTCTGAGGACACGAGTGTACACCTCTACCCATCTGTGTGCTCAGGTGTGGGCACAGGACTGGTGGGCACATCCCTAGCTGTGCTCAGGGATGTTCAAAGCCTGAAAATCTTCCTCTGGGTGGTAAATATGGTTAAATGGCTTTGTTGTTCGTGCAGAACCCATGGGCAGCTCACCCATGTAGCTCTGAACATCAAACCTTAGAGATGGGTTGGCGTGAGAAGAAGCTGATTCTTGTGAACTGCTTGGGTAGTCTGGGTGGGCTGAACAAGGTTATAGGTCAAACAGTGCACAAAAAGCTTGATTTAATGCTTGATTTGATAGGAACTGAGAAAACTGCAAGATGAGAAGCAGCAGTTGGAGAAAGTCTGTGAGGAGCAGGAACAAGCTCTTCAAGAAATGGGACTTCATCTCAGCCAGTAAGTTCTAGGAACTGAACTCCTGGAGGATCAAACCAATACAAAGAATTTTAAACTGCGTCGTTATAAAAGTCAATCAGTGTGAGAATTTTAGGAGGCAATTACTATGCATGGGAAACTAAACAGCCATGAAATAAAAGTGAGGGAGGATCCTTGTAGGAATGAGCTGGCTGAGAGGGCAAACACGACAGGAAATGCTCAGTTCTCAGAGTGGAGCTGTGCTTGGGCCACATTCTTCCCTTTATACTGAAAAGGGCAAACTTCAAGGTGACAGAATTTCCCAGTGGTAGTGAGAGGTTCGAGGGCTAACAGGGAGCTGACTGAGGATCTGGGGTTGGGATTCAATGGCTGGACAGTGGGAGGGCAGGGAAAACCAAACACAACTAAACATAAAATCATGCAGAGGGCATCATTTTATTTTCCAGATCAAAGTTGAAGATGGAAGACATTAAAGAAGTAAATAAAGCACTAAAGGTACTCTGCATCTCATGGATTTTCTTGACTAAGCATAGGAATTTCATGTAATAGCTGCAAGTTTCACCACAGTTGCTGTACTTTAAAAGGAGCTTTTGAAAATGCCAACTACGTTGGTAAAATGCCTTTGGATTTTATTTGTTATCTCCAGTGAGGTTTTCATTCCAATTTTCCAGGGTCATACGTGGCTGAAGGATGATGAAGCAACACATTGCAAGCAATGTGAAAAGGAATTCTCCATCTCAAGAAGGAAGGTAGTGTTGTTGAGTGGATTATTTTGAAATAATCCATGGAAAACAAAAATTGTGCTGTTGCAGTTTGGTAGGGAAGACTGATCCTCCTTCAATTCCAGCTCTTGTTGGCATGATAACTACACAGAGAATAGTTTGGCATTTCACAGCCTAAAAATAATGTTCCCTCTCATTTGGGTGCTCCCCTTGGTGGGAGCTGCTGTGGGCTACGTGCTGTTTCCCTCCCTGGCAGAGCTGGGTGCTGGCAGGCCCCGCTGGGGGCTGCTCTGGGGGACAGCTCACAGGGCACCTGGAGCCCAAGGGCTGGATCTGCTCCCAGTAGAGTCAGGACAGTGTGCTGTCCTGAGAGCAGGGCCTGGCTGCAGGCTGTGCTGATCCAGAGAGCAGCTGCTCCAGCCCCTGGCCAGGCCAGACCCACTGCTGCTCCTGCTCCTGCTCCCCGAGCCAGAAGGAGTGCAGCTCCTGGCCGTGGGTGCAGCGCTCAGCCCTGCGCAGGAGGAAGTGCTGCTGGGAGGGCTGGGCCTGTTGGGGGTGGACGATGATGTCAGAGGACTTCGAAACCTCCCAAGGTCTGACCTCTCTTCCTGTCGCTGTTTGTAGGCAGGTGTGCTTACTCTGACTCTCTGTTTGCAGCACCACTGCAGGAACTGTGGGGACATCTTCTGCAACACTTGTTCCAGTAACGAACTGGCACTGCCGTCGTACCCGAAACCTGTTCGTGTCTGTGATACTTGTCACACGTTACTGCTCCAGAGGTGTTCCAACTCCTCCTAAGGCTCTCCCAGCCTCTCACCTTGGAAAGTAGCCATTATTTTTGTAACTGATTTGCAGCTCCCCAGCACAGCACCTGGCTGGGCTCTGGGAATTGCCTCTGTAAAACAGTAGTGTACAATAACATGTAGGGATGATGCAGGTTAATGCCTCTCCAACTGGAATAATAAACTTATATCAACTGTAATTTCCCTGAAAGTTCTATTTGAAGCTAAAATTCACTTTTCTGATTTTTATAGATATTTGTATTAAAATTTGTATATGGCATTTCTACATTTATCTGATCCCTGTAGACGTCGCTGTCTCTCTGCACATGAATTTCAGCCTCTGTCCCTTCACTGTAGGTGCTCCTGTGCATCTCTTGGCTCATGTACAGTTTTGTATTTGATTTAAGTCAGAGGAAAAGGTCAATTTATGAATTGTCTATAGAAAGAGCTTTATGAGGAGTGTCCATGAATGTGCCTTCGGTTCACTGCGGAGTCAAACACTGCACGTTGTACTTGTTCTGGAAGTCGCTGTGACCACATTGTGGTAGTTACACAATAATAAAGCCTTTTGCAGAAACTGAAAGCTAGAGGAGTTCTGATTTTTAATATCTGTCAGTCACAGATACCAGAAGAGAATGGTCTTGTCCAGCCATACACAACCAGGGCTTAAGCTGAAGATACCAGAATGTGCCTGGGATAACTGACTGACATGTGCATTGTGTTCTGGAAGGTGCCAGATGAAGCCAGTGCTCTGCAGCAGGAACTGCTTCCACCCTTCCCCAGGAGAACAGCTCCCTGTGCCCACCCTGGGGCACCTGCTGTCCCAGGGGTGTTTCCTGCCACCCTCTCACTGCTCTGTCAGGCCTGAGCATGGCTCAGGGGCTGAGGCAGCAGAGTCCCAAAGCAGTTTGTGCTAGGGCTCACACCAGGTACAACAGGACCCACTGCCTTGAGAGCACCACAGGCTGTGCAACAGCTCTGCCCCCTGAGCTCTGTCACACCCAGCTGGGACCCCCATTCTGCCTCACAGCTGTTCGGGTCTCCCCAGCTCTGGCAGAGGCTCAGCAGGGACACAACCCCACCGAGCTGGGCTCCAGCTCGTTTCAGACACCTTGGTCAGCACTCCCCTCAGGAAGGTTAATATGGCAGATGCAGCTGGTGGCTGCAGGCAGAGTGTTCAAGATTCAACCCTGACAGTTCCCAGCTAGAGAGCAGGAGGAGGTGTTCTTCATGTAGAAATGGACCTCAGGTTTCCAGCCCTTTGGGAAGAACAGCTCAGTGCAAAGGGTAAAGTCTACTATGGCAAATGCATGGAAGCAGAGGCTATTATTTCAAGGGAAGTTGTAACTAAGTTACTTACAAAACCACATCTTAAGCAGGATGTTTGACAAGTTGCATTTATTGAAACATGTTTGCAGTAAGCTGTGGAGTTCACTGATGCCTACAAGTACAGAATCACCTCTTAGCCCCCCAGCAGCTTTAGGGCCGTGCAGCACTTAGAACCAACACCCAGCAAGGAGCTGATTTCCTTTGCTACCCCCAGCTGTCACTGCTGCTCTGGCAGCTGCATGGCAAGAGCACTACAGGCACAGAGGACACGGGTGTAGCTACAAGAAGCTGGAGGTCAAGAAGGAGTGAGTTCCAGTTTTTAAAAGGAAGATTTATTTAACAAGTTTCACTTAGCGCAATACACCTAAAAAGGAAATCACAATACAATGAAAGATTAAATCAAGGCCTCAGAATTTTATACGAACACCAAGACCAAAATCCTAAAGTAGCCGTATTGCGTCTTGACAGGTTTCCCCCATTAACTTAAAAAAAAAAAAGCTTTAACATGCCTTACAGGATATTAAAAGAAATAAACTAGAACTAACATGCCAAATGTTCACTTTGATTTTCAGACACAGCTCCTATATTGGTTCTTTACAAAAAAGCATGTCTCTTTCAACATGGATTCAAAACAGTGTTGGATGTAATATGGTATAAGAGCAACATTTAACATAATCCAAACAGCTTTAACCTAAATACGCTTACTGCTTAAATACACTCCTACAACAAAACTAACTTGAGAAACGCTCCAAATCGTTTAACAGTTATAGTCTTTACTTGGTTATTACATCCTAGATGAATGTTCATTTTCTGTATGTTCAAAAATACTGAACCTGAAAGGTTTTAAAACAATCCTGAATTCACTTACAGTAAAGCATAAATCACAAGCTCGTATTGCAAAACTGTTAAACTTAGTTTTTTGTTTTTTTGTTTTTTAAAAAAGGTGTGACCAAAAGTCAGCGATTGGTTACATTCCCCAGCCACCACTCATGTTGGACATGTTGGACATGCCGCCCATGCCGTTCACTCCCATGGATGCTCGGTTCCCACTGCTGTAGTAGCTGCTGTTCATGGCGCCCTGGCTCCCGGGGTCTGAGGGGGAAACCGACAGCAGGTTCACAGCTGCTTCAGGCCGACTCGAAGCATCCTTGCCCCAACGCCTGTCCTTGCTGGGCCACCTCGTAAATACCGTCTACCGTGCCCAACGCTGCAAAGTGTCAGTTTACAGCTCCGTACCCACACGTCAGTCATGCTTGTTCAGTGACAGAGCTAGCTCTGCATCACCCCCTGCCCAACATCCCTGCTCTGGGGGCAAGGGGAGGGCCCAGCCTCCCACCTTCCCTCCCCGTTTGTGCTGTGTTCAAACAAAGCTGCTCTCCAGTTTTCATGCTACAAAAAAAATGCCATCGGAGCAGCACAAGTCTGTGGACTGGCATTTCCCCCCCTCAGCTCCACAGTTCTGCTTTGGTTTGATCCCCCCACAATTCTCCATTACTTTTAACAACATTCACAATAGCCCAAGTCTTCAACTGCCAGGGCTTGTGCCACCCAGGCCATAGCACAGCCCTTCAGCCCCAGCAGGCCATGTTAAGACATGCTGAGCCAGCTGTACCTGGCCCACCTGAACAGCAAAGAAATGCTCTTACCATAGCCACTCATGCTGCTTTGACCTCCATATCCTCCTCCATAACCCCCACTCAACTGCTGGTTGGCTGGGCCACCATAGCTGGATTGGCTTCCTTTTAAGTTAAGGATAAAAGCGTTAAGAACTTGCCTTGTCATGGTCTGCTCATCACCACCAAACCCCCTCACCCAACCAGCAGCCCCTGCCCTCTGGCACTGCAGCCTCACACCCAAGGGAACTTTGAGTATACAAGGTAACGAGCTCAAGGAAACAGATGGGGTGTCTGGAGACATCCCTGCAACTATCAGCAGCAAGAACTCTAACAATTACTTTTGCAGTTTCTATGGCAACAGGATTGATGAGCACTGTATGTATTTCAGACATCCTGCAGGACTGCTGCCCCCCCCAGAGGCATGGCAGCCTGTTCACTGGAGTCATTTTACATGATCCTCACAAACCTGTGCCTGGTCACAGTGTGCTGTGGCTCACCACACAGGGTATCTCTGCTCAAACTCACTAACTGCTTTTCACCTCAGCACTTGTCTACACCTACAAAACCTTTCTGTAGTTCAGGTGTCAGCATTAGTCCTTAAACACTTTGTAATCAGAGCACTATGAAGCAGCAGTGCATCCACCCCCCTCACCCCAGCACCCTCAACAGGAGCCCCCCAGAAACCAACCCCACCTGAACCTCTACACCACCAGAGCAGTTGGGTGACAGGAGGGTATCTGCCTTACAGACACAACAGGCATTTTACACATGTGCTGCAAACACACATTTGAGATTTTTGAACCATTTTTGAGTTTGCTAGAGCAATTCAGATAGTCTCTTCCAATTCCAAATACATTTCTCCCTCACCACCAAGAAGCCTGAATGGCAGGTCATGTGCCAGATACATCCTCCTCCACCAGACTCTGCTCTGGTGTCCCAGAAAGGAAGGGGAAAGGAATAGAAAAGAACACGCATCTCCCACCTTTGCACCACCACACTCCCAGGAGCCACTCACTCATCCCACCAGGCACACACACACTCAGCGCCAGTTTATTCAACTTATTAATGCTCAAACGTATTCCCAGAAGGTTTATATACCTGGCAATGTGCTAGTGTTCCAATCTTGGACTACCCCTTCCGATTCCTTGACTGTGATTAAGACAGAATGTTGAATTTCAGTTTTTGTGCCAGGCACACAACAAGCAGGAGCTGTACAAAACGAGCAGCTTCCTTCAACAGCAAGTGCTCATTTACACACGCAGTGAGACTGTTACACGTACCCATTGCTCCCATCATCTGACTGCCATAGGCACCACCAGTCCCTCCTGCTGTAGAATTCAGGAACAGCTCTACGTATCTGTGTTCTGGAAGAGAATTTTGCCATGAGAGCATTTCACACCAAACCCATGCAGCTTGTCTGGCTGCAGTGAAGCCTCTGGCACTCCAGTTCCAGGAGATGCACTGCAGTGCTGACTCTCCCCACAGCCTCCTGTCCTGAGCAGTCAGACTTACGCATATTGGCCTTGTCTTTGGACATAGCAGCCACTGCATCCTCGTGAGTAGCAAATTCAACATCTGCCTCTCCAGTGACTCTGCCATCTGGTCCGATCTCAATGTGTACTCTTACAGGGTTCAGAGGTGAGAAGAACTACACACACAACAGTCACACAGATTAAAACGCACCGATGCAACAGTTTGGGTTTACAACAAGCCATTTTCTCCAAAGGACTCTCCAGCTGCACTGCAGCTGGTGTGTCCTGCCATGCCCAAGAACCACCAGGGGGTCCAAAGCCATGCCCCAGGGGGTCCAAAGCCATGCCCCAGTGAGCAGCATCAGGACTCACGTTGTAGATGTCGTTCTCAGTGGCTCTGTAGGGCAGACCTCGCATGTGGACGCAGTGGCCGGTGGTGCTCTGGAAGGTGGACGATCCGTCGCCGTACCTGTGGTCCGACATCCCTGCGGAGAAAAGAGTCCATTCTAGGTCTTTCAGATGTATTTGAGTTTCTTTTGACACATGTCGTAAGTTCAGTTACTGTTCCTATTAGAGATCTCTTACCTCTTCCAAATCTATCAGAACCAAACCCATAGCCATCATTATACCCATTGTAGTCATCATAACCTCCATAACCTAGAAACAGATTGGACATGTTCATTTCAACTACACAAAGATCCAAGTAAACGTTCATTTCGACTACAGCAAGATCCAAATACACACTACACACTGCAAACAACGAGTATTACAGTTTCATTTCCTCAAGGAAAATTAAAGCCAAGGACACATACAAACCAGCAGTGACAAAGCAGGGAAGACACTACCAGGTCCAAGTGTTGCTGCTTTGCAGATGAGCAGCTCCCTCTTGGACTCCGTGCACTTACCTCCTCCGTAGGCTCCACGCCTCATCCTTTCCAAGCTACTTCCTCTACCCAGACTGTTATATCCGCGCGTGAGACCAGGCCTGTCGTACGGACCAGGTCTCTGCATTGCCAGCAGCTTGCGTGGAGGGTCGTAGTGAGTGCGAACTTCCGCCCGGCTACTCTTGAAGATCTCAATGTACCTACGGAGTGTTTCCACAGGAACAAGTCAGGCCATGACTCCTCCCACAAACACCTCACAACTTCACATTACAACAAGCCATTTAGTCATAGCCTTGACACTGGCAGTAATTTTAAGCCAGGTTTCCTTACGTTATGTAGGCAATGACATACTATCGTAAGCACTACATTACATTCAAATCAGTGTATTTTCAAGAAATTAAAATTACTGAAGGGTTTATGTGCTCCTCATACTTCGCAGTATCCCAGCCTTAAGGGTGGGGGAGCAAATCTTGATTCCCCACCCCCCTCCCCCCAATTTAAGGTGTTAGTCAAAAAATGTAGGAGGGACTGGTGTCCGCTCAACTCAGCACTGGTTTGCTCAAGGCAATGGAAACAGAGGGTTAAAAACCTGATCTCCACCAAGAGTTTAACCCATCAGGATGCCCCAAGAAGCTCTGCATGTACTAGAGTGAACCCAGCCTATGCTTGAGAGACTCAGCGTAGGCAAAAGGTGCATGCTTCAATGGAAAATAGTCACAAGTAAAATAGAATAAAAACCCTTTGTGACAATTTCTTGAAAGCTATGCTTATTACATTGAAGATTAATACAGTAAGTAAATTTGTTACATTTCAACTTATAAAACAAGTTTAGAAAGTATCACATTTTCTTATGGTAGTAAAGAGTACTGTGCATGTCTTTAGAGCTAAAGGCAGAATTGGTGCTATTTGAGAAGTTAAAGCCATAGTCTCTCAACTTTTGTCACTTCCAAGCTATCAGTTTTGCATTCCTGTTACTATTCAGTTTCCAAAACACTTTAGTCCAATTTTATCTTGTAATTTGGGTAGAGCCAAACAGTCTGTGCCACACACACTGTGGCAATCGACACCTTTACTCAGCACTGTGTTAGAGACCAAAATAACTATTCGATTTGGATGTTAACGCTTCCAGAAGAGAGAATATGGATTTAATTGTTTACCATAAGAAAAGTGACAGAGCCAACCAACCATCCATCCCCACCTGTGCCCTATTCTTTCCTTGTGTTTCTTTAGAGCCTTTTCAGCTATTTCCTGTGAAGCAAACTGCACGAAGGCCTCCCCCGTACTCCTCCCCTGGAAGTCCACCGGCAATGTTATCCCATTTGGCACGATTTCCAACCCTTCAACCCAAGGACAAATAACCCCAGTAGGGGGGCAATATTAACATCACAAGCCCAGTCATGAGTTTTTTCTTATAGCTTTAAATACACCAGAATTTTAACACTTGCAAGCGAATGGTATGTTGATTCTAGAACACCAGAAGAACAAAGGCACCAAAGTCAACAAAGAGAGATCCATGATCACATACCATTCAGCTCAGGTTCTTAGCTCACCCTGCAGAGCCCAAAAACACTCTGAGTGTCAGGGACAGCTCCTCAGAGAAGGCATCTAATGCAGGGTGTGTTAAGAACTTCACAATATTATTACAATCCTCTTCAAATTCTCTGAAAGTATTTAAGTTGAACTTTTAAAGACAATTTACATTCAAACACAGCAAGTTAAACAGTTTTATACAGAACAAGTCATTTTACTAGAAGTCTCTCAGGTAATTATTAGTCTTATGCAAACAATGATTTTTTTTTTATCTTTAGGAGTGCTTAATTAAGAAAAAAATCATGAAGTGATTTTAAAGTATTAGTTTCTGAACAGAAGAGGCACATTTTTATATTAAGCACATTAACAGTTTTTAAAGTTTGAAATACTTCACCATGTAAGAAAAAAAAAAACAGCTTAAAATGCACATGCTTAGAAATTGCTCTTGTTCATATCATTGATTCAGAAAACAAAAAACAAGTTCTGAAGCTGTAAAACTGGAAATATTTCTACTATATTTTAAAGCAAAACAGTAAACTCAACCATATCTTTTATAGCAAAACATTTAGACATCTACATTTTTGAAAACACTAACAACTGAAATCCTAAACAGATCAACAGATTTCATTCTTAGGCATTTGTAATAGTTTGTAATTCCAGTTTCTAAAACACACAATAGCTGCAAAAAAAAATCAAAATTAATCAAAACAAGACATTATCTTTTCATCCATCAAAACTGTGAGCTAAGTAACATCAAGGGGTTGGGTTGCTTTTTTTTTTTCCCTTAGGAATAGAAGGGGCAAATCTGGAGCTCTGTACTTGGGTAGAGGTTAGCAGGTTGTTTTTCTCTGGATTTTAATCAATACTAAATCTATGTTTAGAAGTAGTCACGGGCACAATTCCTGCCCTTCCTTGGACCCTGTGGAGCCCAGTGGTGAGGGTGTGCTAATCCTTCACTGCCCAGAGTGAACCAGCCCAGACGGGTGGAAATACCTCCTCCCACCTGGACTGTTCACTCTAACTTGCAAAGCAAGACACTTGCTGCAATCCTTACTTGGAACATTATGTCCTGCTCAGTATAAATTCAAGCAGCTTTTTGGCATTCCCTAAATTATTTAACTATCAAGTAATTTAGGAATTCTCCCTCGAGCCCAGAGAACTAACAAAGAATTGCTGGTTTACTTTTAACATCCACCAATGCACTGCTAGAGGTACTACTGGGCACTCCTTAGTCGTTGGGTTTGTTGGGGGGTTTAACATAAACCAATAGTGCTAGAGCTACTACTTTTATCCCACATACCTGAAAAAAACTGTACAATTTCTTCTTTACTACAGCCAAATGGGAGTCCTCTAAGACGTACAAAACCATCATTAGCTGTATCAGGGCTGTTGGGACCAGTATGCTTCAGAACCCAATCCATTTCAACGTTGTTTGACTTGAAAACTGTAAAAGGCACTTAGAATTAATGCATTCTGCAATCAGCAAGGGTTTTTTAAAGTCATCTGCCTTGAAACTAGTCAACTTATGACATACAAGACCATTTTGTCGTTTCACATGCATTTTAAAGAGACAGAAAAGCAATTAACAGAAACCATCGAGCACAAAACACATGTAGTCAGTTACTAGACCAACTGAGTCAAACCTTCAACGTATCTGTGTCCCATTGTTTCTCTGTCTTTTTTCAGGGCCAATTTCACATCCTCCTCTGACTCAAGCTCAGCAAATGCTTCTCCACTGGGTCTGCCCTCCCTGGTGTAGATGAAACGGATACCCAGGGCCCCATTCAGGATTTTGCAATCTGAAAATGAAACAGGAAAGCCAGAAATAATTTAGCTATTACAGAAACAATGTGACTATAAAAGTTTCAGATACTCTAACAAGAAAAATGTAACGACTGTTAAGGTGTATCAGGAGGACAAAACCAGCAACTTGTTACAACTTTATAATGTTACCCATGACCTAAGCCACTCACAAAAATCAAGTCACCTTTCTAGTAATGCCTAAAGAGGAGCAAAACATCGAGGATAATGTAAATTAGCTATCTCTTCTCAAAGCTTTTCTGCTATCTGCTTTTGATCTTAACTTTCTCATCTGCATGAAATGAAATAAGGAGCAAGAGCAATCACTATAAGTGTAATAAGCTGAATCAAAACCAAGTCTGATATATCAAACTCCTGAAACTGCTTTAGAACCACCAGAAAACATGTATTGATCACCACTACTGATTACTTCAGAAAGCTACTGGGTGCTCTGTGGTCTCTGGGTTTGTTGGGGGTTTAGCATAAACCATAAATGTCAGTCCTTGGAATCCTAAACCAATTTGGGGGAAGGACATACACTAAACACGCAGCATGAGAGGCTGTTAAGATACCACCTAGGATCAAACTGGCTTAGTTCAACCCGAAGCAAGAATTTTGAAGCTGTCCTTAAAATGGAAGCTTCTCTCTCCTGGTTGCTCAGGCAGCTGTGGCTATCCCAGCAACTAAGACTAAGCTCCTTTGTGTCTGGCTCCTGCCAGCGCAAGCATGAGCTTTGCATACTGGCTGCTCCTGGCTTAAGTACTTGTTGCACTGCAAACTTCACCAGCTCCTGAACATTTCCTGCAGCTGCTCACTGCAGCGTTCCCAGCACCAGCGTCCCCGGGAGGAACCCTGAGCTCCCAGTGCCCAGACTCACCCGAGAAGAACCTCTGAACCTCCTCGGTGGAGCAGGACCAGGGCAGCCCTCTGACTTTCACCACGTATCCCTCGCTGCTCTCCGTGTTCAGCATCACGTTGGGGGTGAGGCTCTGCTCCGTCTCTGCTTCTGTGGTAGCTGGAGAAGACCAAAACGAGCCCTTTGA